TAACTCGGGGGAGCCTCTACAAGGCTCTGTTGGAGGGGATGGGAGAGGGCTGGCCCCTGCATTCCGGTGCCTGGGTCCATGTTGGTTTGATTAGCTCCATGATTTCTGCTTCCCTTGAGTATAGCCTCACATGCCAGGCCCCAGGCAGCTGCCTGGTGCCCCTGGAGGAGCCAGGATTCAGGAAGGAGTGAACCACTTACCCAGGACAGCCAGGGCAGGGAGCCTGAGGTTGGCAGAGCAGTGATACAAAGACAAAGGTGGAGATGCCATGTTAGGGCTCGGGCCATAAGGCCCAGGAGAGGCTGTAGGTGAGAAAGTGAGGCTAGCAAGCATTGCTTCTCAGCCTTTTGGCTAAGATCAAGTGAGACTAGCAAGCTGCAGAGTGTGAGGCAGCTAGACAGAGGCCGTAAGGAACACCAAGCTGTCACCAGCCAAGTTGGGGCATTGCCAGCTATAGATACAGCAGACTAGAGGTACTCAGCAGGAATGAATTGTGGCAAGTGGTTACAATGGCAGAACTTGAATCACAGAAAAGTCACAGAAATCAAGGAATAATAATAAATGTAATGCTGGGCACAGCAGCTCACACCTGTAGTCTCAGCTAAGGCAGGAGGGTTGCTTGAGGCCAGGAGTTTGAGGCAAGCCTAGGCAACACAGTGAGACTCTGTTTCTAAATAATAATAATGATAATAAAGTTGATGGAAAGTTTGGGAAAATAAAACAATGGATCAGCACCACTGTATCACCTGATAACATCTTAGAAATGCAAACTGTCAGGCCCAATACTAGGCCTCAGAAACTCTGGAAAGAGGGCCCAGCAATCGTTTTGGTTTTTTTGGTGGGGGGGGGTTGATTATTTTTTAATTTTTTCAAATTAATATAAGGGTACAGGTTACATTGCTCTCACTTCCAGGGTAAAGTTCCATTTGTAGAAGATCCCCTCACCCAGGGGGAGTGTCACACACCCTCCAATGTGCACATTAGGTGAGATCCTGCCTCCTGCCGTCTGCCCTCCCTTCTTCTGCCATACATCCTCCCCTCTCCCTCTGCGCTCTACCCTTGAACTGGACTACATTAGTGTTTTATTATTCTTATGAGAATGTAATTGTTTATATATTGATTTCACATTAGTATGGAGTACATTGGATATTTATTTTTCCGTTCTTGCAATACTTTACAAAGAAGAATATTATTTCAACTCGATCCAGGTAAATGTCAAAGTTGTAAAGTCTCCATCTTTTTTAATGGCTGAATAATATTCCATGGTATACATATACCACAGTTTGTGGATCCATTCATAGGTTGATGGGTATTTAGGTTGCTTCTACAACTTGGCAATTATAAATTGAGCCACAATAAACATTCTAGTGCAAATGTCTTTGTGGTAAATGATTTTTGTTCTGGGTAGATACCTAGTAATGGGATTGCAGGGTCAAATGGAAGGTCTACTTTTAGATATTTGAGTATTCTTCATACTTCTCTTCAAAAGAGCTGTATTAGTTTGCAATCCCACTAGCAGTATAGAAGCATTCCCTTCTTTCCCCATCCATGCCAGCATCTGGTGTTTTGGGACTTTGTGATGTGGGCTAATCTTGTTGGAGTTAGTTGATATCTTAAAGTGGTTTTGATTTGCATTTCTCTGATGATTAAAGTTGATGAACATTTTTTCATGTGATTGTTGGCCATTGTCTGTTATCCTCCAAGAAGTTTCTATTTAAATCTCTTGCCCACTTATAGAGAGGGTTCTTTGCACTTTTCTTATTGTTTAATTTGAGTTCTCTGTAGATTCTAGTTATCAGGCCTTTGTGAGATTCATAACATGCAAATATCTTCTCCCATTCCTAAAGCTGTCTGTTTGCTTTGTTTGTGGTACCCTTAGCTGTGCAAAAGTTTTTCATCTTGATCAAATCCCAGCTATTTATTTTTGGTGTTGCTACAATTGCTGGGAGGGTCTTCCTCATAAAGTCTTTTCCCAGGCCAATATCTTCAATTGTTTTCCCCACACTCTCTTCTAGAATTTTTATTGTTTCATGTCTTAAATTTAAAACTTTTATATAGCGAGAATCAATTTTTGTCAATGGTGAGAGGTGCGGGGCCAGTTTCAGTCTTCTACCTGTGGATAACCAGTCCTCTCAGCACCATGTGTTAATCAGGATTCTTTTCCCCATTGCATGTTTTTGTTAGGCTTATCAAAGATTAAATGACGATATATGATAGATCTACATCTCTACTTTTGTGCCAGTACCATCCAGCAATCAGTTTTAACAAGGCCTGCTGGTAATTGTGACACATGATAAAGTTTGAGCACCACTTGGCTACTCAAAATGTGGTTGGTCCATTTGCACCAGCACTATCAGATTATTGGAAATGCAAAATCTCAGGTCTAGCCCAGACCTAGTGGGGCTAGATAATAGCTGCTAATTAATATTTGGTGGGTGTTTACTAAGTGCCAGCCTCCTGGCTAAGTACCTTGTATGTACCTTTTCCATTGAATTCTTTCAACAATTCTTCTAGGAAAATACTAGTATTTTAGGTATTCACAAGATCCCAGACAGTTCCCATCTACCTTACAGTTGGGCAAGGGCCACACCTGCGCTGGGATTCTTTGTTCTGAGTCTAAGGCCAGGGACAAATAGACACAGAAGACCATGGGGAAACAGGCCACACAATTTCAGGCATATGCAATCCAGACTGCTCCCAGAAAATGTCACCAAGAAAAATAATGGCTTCGCTGAGCCCACAAACATGCCCAACGTAGACGCTGCGCAGAAAACAGATTGCAAAGGCAATAAGACAAACAGCCTGACGGTGCTATTCATATTCCACAGGAGACAGCTGGGGCCCTGAGATGCAGGCGGGCTCCCAACCCTCGGAGATGTGGATGGAGATGATTTAAGCCGCAGCAGCAGAAGGTGGCTGCAAGAAGGGAAAAACCCCACAGAGACACTGCTGAGAGAACAAAGCTGGTGAGACAGGAGGCTGGACCTCAGGTCGCTGCTCAGATGACCCGGGGTTGTCATTCTTTTCAGAGAAGCCAGCTGGGAGGCATTGAGGAAGGACAGGAGAGGAGCTTGCCTGCAAGGCTCTAGGGTGGAATGACACCAGAGAGAATCCTTCCCCACCTCCCTGCTGGCTTCCTGGTGTTTGTGATTTTAACACATACACACACACACACACACACACACACACACACACACGTCTCTCCATTCCCCTTAGTAATAGCTGCTAATTAATATTTGGTGGGGGTTTATTATGTGCCGGGCTCTGAGCTAAGTACCTTGTATGTACTTCTTTCTTTGAATCCTTTCAACGGTTTTACTAGAAAGGTACTAGTATTTTAGGTATTCGCTAATATTTGGGAATTTACTAAACACTAATGAGCATTTATGAATTTACAGGTAGAGATTGAGAGTAGAAATTGCACTGCTTCCCAGAAGACAGCCAGCTAGAAAGGCAGCATTGAGGCAGCCCCCAGACATCCCAAGCCCGGGTACACCAGACCTCTGCACCTTTATTCCTCATGGTATATGGTCCTTGGGCCAGCACTTCAGCATCATTTGGGAGTTTGCGCAATACAAAAGTCCCAGGCCCTGTCCAGACGCACAAAATCAGCCTCAGCATTAATAGCAAGATCTCCCAGAACTGGTATGCATGTTACTGTTGGGGAAACATACCTGGTTGTAAGCGCTTCCCTTGCAATAATGCAAATTCCTCTTCCATGAGGAACACAGCTGATATTGCTCAGACACACTTCAAAAGAATGAGTTTCAGATTCTCCCTGGGGAACAGGATGTTAGGGCCCAGTAGGGGCCACCAGGTTGTAGAGGGACGCCAGGGAGTGAGGGAAAGACAGAAAACAAGAAAAGTGTGGGTGCCTCTGTAATTGCCATCATCAGACACAGGTTGGCCAGAGAAGGACTGTCTTCCTTTTTTGCTGCATGTTGTAGAGTCTGAAAAACAGACAGCCTGTGCAAACACCAGGGAAAAAGAGCTTCAGGAAGACGTTTGCAGGTTTCACTTCCCCTGAGCAAACATGCAAACATGGGCTGTCACAGGGCTGTCAGGGTGGCAAAGGGTTTGCAAAGTTCAGAGCAGGACCCAAGTATAAGGTGCAATCCTTATTAAGTGGGTCAGGAGCTTGGTCTCTCCCCTGACACACAAAGCTACCCTACAGAAGCCCTTGCTGGAAGGCCGGATCTTCATGGTCCCTCTGCTCCGGCGCCTGCTGGGCACATCTCTCCCACTGCCACCACCCCACCTCACTCCCCTGCAGCTCCTCACATTAGCCTGAGCGCACTCTGGGACCCGCTGTCTTGTCTTCCGAGCACAGTGCCAGAAGGGTTCTGTTCATTTAGGATTCTACTCTTTCTAATGGAACATGGCGCTTTCAAGGCCTTTGAGGACCATGCCTTATGTCTTTCATGGTCACTGAATCACAAATTGCATTCCAGAGGGACCTGAGAGATCAGCGTAAACTATGAGAGTTCAGCCTCAGCAGAGCATGTGCCCCGGCTTCACTATTTATCACCTGTGTTTTCCCAGGTGAGTTTCTTAGCCTCTCAATGATTCAGTATTCTCATTTGCAAAGACGAATAATAGTCCTCACCTCACAGGATTACTAGGAATATTGAATAAAATACTAAATTAAATAATTACAAACTTATTAAATTAAATACTTAGGGTCTACCTGCACTTTGTTGACACCCAACATAGTTAGCTATTATTAAACCATATTTCAAAGACTCTAAAGATACATCAATTGTAAGACACATCCCTGACTTTAGAGATGTTAAGATCCCATCATTCATTCAACAGAAAAAGGACTCCAAAGCCAAAGACGTTTGGGAAACACCAACTTTCTTTCCTGTAAGATATCTCAGAACCTTTTCTCAAGCCTGTGGCTCAAAGGAGTAAGGCACCGGCCCCATATGCTGGAGGTGGTGGGTTCAAATCCAGCCCCGGCCAAAAACTGCAAAACGAACAAACAAAATATATATATATATGTCTGACTATTAATCATTCAAACATTCCTGGGTCCTGCTGTGCTCGCCTAACACAGCCTCTCTTCTCTCTGCCACCTGATGACACAAATGCAACCCGACAGCCACATCTGTAACCCTTTGGGGCAGCTCAGGACCTCCCCATGTTGCCTTTCAGTGCCATCTGCAGTGTAGGTATTGTACTCAGGGTTTCCCAGACTAAGCAGGCAATGGAACTCCTTCTTCATGGATTATCTTTCTTTTAACTAAAAAATTTCATTTTAGAGATGAGGTCCTCCTCTGTTGTGCATGCTGGGGTGCAGTGGCACGATCATAGCCCACTGCAGCCTCGAATTTTTAGGCTAGTGATTTTCAACCGGTGTGCCATGAGAGGATCTTAGATCATTGATTACATTATTTTCAAAAGAAGTTCAAAGTACAGTAAGTATATTCTTTTTTTTTATCAACATAATTTAAGTGTGTAACATAAGTATGTCGTGAGATTTAAAAGGTTGAAAAACCCTGTTATAGGCTTAAACAATCCTCTCACTCACCTCAGCCTTGCAAACTGCTGACTACAGAAATGAGACACTGCACCCAGAACCCTCAAGAGTTCTGTGGACTACAGTTTGCAAGTACTAATCAACTCCAGTGCTCTAATTTCATAGATGTAGATGAGGAAACTGAGGTCCAGAGAGAGGATAGACTTCCTGAAGTTACTCAGCTGGTTAAGTGCTGACAACTAGGCCACTGAACAGCCAAACTGGAGGCCCCTCCACTAAACCACCTGCCTCCCATTTAACCTGTCACCTATGCACTTGATAGTCCCACAAGGCCTCCTGAGTCCTGATGTGCACTGCTCCTCCCAGTAACCCCAGAGATCCTGAGGGAAGGCATTGCCCCCGTTGTACAGGCTGCACGCTGAGTGGCAAGGGCAAGTGCGACCCAGCTCTGATTCCTGGGCTCCCTGCTGTGCTCTCATAACACCTAGAAACTGTAGCTCTGGAGCTAGGAGGGAGGGAGTAGGTGAGCCGGGAAGAGTTAGAAGACCCGGGTGTCCCAGTGCAGAAGGGGGCTGAAACAGGCAATCATCCCCACCTGAGGGCCTTGCTAGGCCAACCCTGAACTCCACCCTGATGGGCAGAGATGCAGACCATCCTCCATCTGCCCTACCATTTCCTGGTCAAGCACTGGAGGAGGCACAGGGCTGGAGGGAAACTGGAGCTGCCTCTCCTTTCGCATCTGCCAAACGCAGAGCCCGGTGGAGCCAAGGGCAGACCTCCAGGTCCAATGTTATTGCATCGCCGAGGACCATCCTCAGGGACCCACTGGGCAAACTTCAGGCCACGTTTATGAAATCCACTGGGAAGTCCTTTCATCACAGCTGTTAATTCCATGACTGCTTTGTTGTATGAGCAGGTTGTGTTTCACTGGCTAAGGTGAATTGCTATGAGGATTTGTTAAGTAATTCATCAACTTTTAAACCTCTGTATGTTTGTGGTCAAACATGACTGTTCTCACAGACTAAGTGACTCTCAGCCTTTTCTCCTGTGAGACAAACATGATGGACGATGTTTATTCACATGTCGGACCCACCCCCAGTGGGAAGAGACTCACTCACATTGGCAAAAATTCTGAAGAATATCAAGTGTTGGGTAAGGGCATACAAAAGGCTAACTTTTGCACATTGTTGGTGAAAGTATAAATTAATATAGATCCAACAGAGAACAATTTCTGGTGAAATGGAACATTGAATTTCAGTTACATTGCCTATGAACCTGTAATTCAATCTTTCAATGTATGCCCAAGAGAAGTTCGTGCAGTGTGTGCACAAGCAAACGTATCCGAGGATGTTCACTGCAGGATGTTGGTGGTCAACAGCTCAGATGAACACCAACAGAAAAATGGCTACGTAAAATACGGTTTAATGGAACATTTCACTGCAGTTAAAGGAAATGAATTAAAGCTATATATATTTACATATAAATTGTGAACAGATCTCAAAATATACTGTTGAGTGAAAAAAGAAAGTTACCGTATAATACAAAATTTAAATCCTATTTATATAAAATTTCACATAGAAAAGTCAGTTCTGGCTTGACACCTATAGCTCAGCGGCTAGGGTGCAAGCCACATACACCGGGGCTGGAGAGTTTGAACCTGGCCTGGGCCTGCCAAACAACAAAGACAACGACAGCAACAAAATAGCTGGGCATTATGGCAGGCGCCTATAGTCCCAGCTACTTGGGAGGCTGGGGCAAGAGAATGGCTTAAGCCCCAGAGTTTGAGGTTGCTGTGAGCTGTGATGCCACAGCATGGTACTGAGGGTGACATAGTGACACTCCACCTCAAAAAAAAAAAAAAAGTCAGTTCTATGTATTTATCACAGACGAATATAAATTTATAAAGGTAAAGGTATAAAAAACAGACTGAAAGGATATGTATTATATTTGTGATAGCGATTGTCCCTGAGAAGAGGGAAAGAGTAGTGGGGTTGGTCTGAAGGGCAAAAGAGACTTTACTTTCTATCTCAGGCTGTCGTGTCTGACCCAGCTCATGTATCTCTCAGATTCTCTTGGCCTCATCTATCTCATGAACCCTTGACCATTGGCTCTTAGCCCCTGCCACAGCAGCCAACTCTCCGCAGGCCTACGTGGATCCCCTTGGGGTTGACCCGCCACATGGCCAGAGTCTTAGGTTCTTCCCATCACTTCTGGACTTAAATGAAACACTCTGCAGAAGGGCCCGGGATCTGGCTTCCACAGTGGCTCCCCAAAGGCATCAAGTATAATGCGATTCTCAACTGGAGTGATTTTCTTCTAGGGGACATATGGCAATGTCTAGAGATATATTTTTGGTTGCTACACCCGGGTAACAGGGGCTACTGGCCTTTAGTTGGGTGCAAGTCAGGGTGCTGCTAATTACCTTACAATGCACAGGACAATCTCCAACAAGGAAGGTTCATCTGGCCCAGTAGTGGGCCAAGATTCAGTAGCGCTAAGATTGAGATATCCTGGTGTAGTAGTTAAGAACAAGATTCTAGAAACAAAGTAGGGGTGTGTGGTCTTAGACATTTCATTTCACCTGTCTCTGCTTTAGCTTCCTCATCTGTAAGATGAGTATAATACTTTTTTCTACTTCATATGATTGTTGTGAGAATTAAATGTGTTAGTAATTTATGTAAAGTATTTATCTCAGTGAATGGCACTTAGAGAATGTTATGTAGTGTCATAGTAATAATACTTACAGTAACTGTGCCCTGAAGAGTAATAACAAATACTCTACTTTTTAAAATAAGCCACCCCAAACTTCAAAGCTTTAATTATTGCTAGTTACAAATACCTCACAACACACTTTACAACTATTTTTAACACACTGGCAATATCATGTTTTACTATTCTAAAATGCACACTTTAACACTTTTTTTTTTTTGAGACAGAGTTTCACTTTGTTGCCCTTGGTTCAGTGCTATGACATCATAGCCCACAGCAACTGCAAACTCCTGGGTTTAAGCAATTCTCTTGCCTCAGCCTTCCCAGTAGCTGGGACTACAGGTGCCCACCACAGTGCCCAGTTATTTTTTGAGATGGAGTCTCACTCTTGCTCAGGCTGGTCTCGAACCTGTGAGCTCAGGCAATCCACACGCTCAGCCTCCCAGAGTGCTAGGATGACAGGCCCCAGGTGAGCCACCGCACCTGGCCCTAATTTGACACTTACACATTTCCAGTCTCTGAACTCAGGATGCATCTTTTTTTTTTGAGACAGAGCCTCAAGCTGTCCCCCTGGGTAGAGTGCCGTGGCATAGCTCACAGCAACCTCCAACTCCTGGGCTTAAGCGAGTCTCCTGCCTCCGCCTCCCAAGTTCCTGGGACCACAGGCGCCCACCACAACGCCTGGCTATTTTTTTTCGGTTGCAGCCATCATTGTTGTTTGGTAGGCCCGGGCTGAATTCGAACCCGCCACCTTAGGTGTATGTGGCTGGCGCCTTAGCCACTTGAGCCACAGGCGCCAAGCCAGGATGCATCTTAAGATCTGGCTGGCACGTGGCCATCAGAGAGTTGTCACTATCTGCACATATGCACAAAACCTTGTGGATGGGTATCCGTGGCTTGGAAGGAAAACCTGGAGATAGTAGGGAAGATGCTTGTTAAGAAATGGTCCATCGGCTCAGCGCCTGTGGCTCAAGCGGCTAAGGCGCCAGCCACATACACCTAAGGTGGCGGGTT